CACCTTAATCCCAAAACCGGACAGAGAACCATCAGAGAAGGAAAACTACAGACCTATTTCTCTGATGAACATTGATGCTAAAATTCTCAACAAAATCCTAGCCAATAGAATTCAAAAAATCATCAGACAGATCATTCATCCGGATCAAGTAGGATTCATCCCTGGGATGCAGGGATGGTTCAACATTCGGAAATCCATAAATGTTATAAACCATATCCAAAAACAGCAAAACAAGAACCACATAATAGTTTCAATAGATGCAGAAAAAGCTTTCGACAAAATCCAACACCTCTTCATGCTAAAAACTCTAGCCAAAGTAGGCATAGATGGGAAAATCCACAACATAATCAAAGCAATTTATGAAAAACCCAACGCCAGTATCATACTGAATGGAGAAAAGCTAGAACCCTTCCCACTGAGATCTGGAACAAGACAAGGGTGCCCGCTATCACCACTGCTATTCAACATAGTCCTAGAGGTACTTGCAGAGGCCATAAGACAAGAAAAAGAAATCAAAGGCATACGTATAGGAAACGAAGAAGTCAAGCTTTCACTATATGCAGATGACATAATCCTATACATAGAAAAACCAGGAGACTCAATACAGAAACTGCTAGAACTTATACGAGAGTTTGGCAGAGTGGCGGGGTACAAAATTAACGAACGAAAATCAACAGCCATAGTGTACGCAAATAACACCAAGATGGAAGAAGATCTAACCAACAGGATACCATTCAAAATAGCAGAGAGAAGTATGAAGTATTTGGGAATAAATCTAACCAAAAGCGTAGGAGACCTATTCGAAGAAAACTACAAACTATTTAAAAAGGAAATTGAACAAAACCTCAAAAGATGGAATAACATCCCGTGCTCCTGGATAGGCAAAATCAATATCATTAAAATGTCTATACTACCACAAGCAATATACATTTTCAATGCAATTCCAATCAAATTGCCCAAAACATTCTTCACGGAACTGGATACAATGATTCAAAAGTTCATCTGGAAGCACAAAAAACCACGAATAGCTAGAACCATCCTGAAAAATAAGAAGTCAGCAGGGGGAATCACAATCCCGGACCTCTGGACATACTATAGAGCAGTGGTTATCAAAACAGCCTGGTACTGGCACAAAGACAGAAAGGAAGATCAATGGAATAGAATAGAAGCACCAAAAGGGAACCCACACAAATACAGCCAATTAATCTTTGACAAAAAGACCAATGACAGCTCAAGCAAGTGGGAAGGCCTCTTTGGTAAATGTTGTTGGGACAACTGGCTGATAGCCTGTAGAAACAAAAAAATAGACCCACATCTATCACCATACACTAAGATCCAATCTACATGGATAAAAGACCTAAACCTACATCCAGAAACCTTCAAACTCTTGCAAGAAAATGTAGGAAATACCCTGCAAGACCTAGGAGTAGGTCCCGACTTTCTAAGAAGGACACCAAAAGCAATAGCAGTTGAGAACAGAATAAACAAATGGGACCTCATCAAACTAAGAAGCTTCTGTACAGCAAGGGAAACAATCAACAAAGTAAAAAAGCAACCCACAGAGTGGGAGAAGATCTTTGCACACGATATAGGCGATAGGGGGCTAATTTCCAGGATATATAAAGAACTTCAAAACAACCAAAAAACCAAAACAAACAAGCCACTCAAGAAATGGGCACGGGAAATGGGCAAACATTTCACAAAGGAACAAGTCCAAATGGCAAACAAACATATGAAAAAATGTTCCAGCTCCCTAGCAATAAGGGAAATCCAAATTAAAACATCGATGAGGTACCACCTAACACCAGTAAGATTGGCCCACATAAACAAGAACACCAACGACGCTTGCTGGCGAGGATGCGGGGAAAAGGGAACCCTACTCCACTGCTGGTGGAGCTGCAAATTGGTACAGCCTTTATGGAAATCAGTCTGGAGAACACTCAAACAACTCAAAATCTGCATACCATATGACCCAGCAATAGCACTCCTAGGAATATATCCAAAACACCTGTTTTACGACAAACCAACATGCATCCCTATGTTCATTGCAGCACAATCAGTAATTGCAAAAACATGGAAGCAACCGAAATGCCCATCAGCAGAAGATTGGATAAGAAAGCTTTGGTTCATCTACTCCATGGAATACTACTCAGCTATTAAAAAAAACAAAATGCAGTTCTTTGTGGCTAAATGGGTACAACTGGAAACTATAATGCTAAGGGAAATGAGCGAATCCCAAAAGATTAGATACCACATGTTTGCCTTGATTTAACCTGTAATTTTTTGTTTGGTTGTTTGTTATTTTTTTTTTTTTTTTGAACCTGTCATTGATACTGTCTCAACCCAGATGTTTCGAAGAAGGGAACTTGCATTATTTTTAACATATTGTTTACCCAATACTATGTCAATTAATTCCATAATGTTGTATATTGATACTGTGGCCTCGTTGGGGCTTTTAACTGACTGGATCTTTACTCTGTTAGACCTATTTTCAGACCATAGAAGGTCTCCCCAAGAGGCCACTGAACTTATCTGGACAATAAGACGCTGAACTTTATGCTAGGCATGTGTCTGCAAGCAATGAATCTCAACCGAACTTGAACTATGGTTATGCAACAAGGTGGAGGAATCCACCATGGGGGGAGGGGTATGGGAGGGGTGGGGGGAATCCCTAGCGCCTATGAAACTGTACTACACAATACAATGTAAGCAACAATAATAAAAAAAAAAAAAAAAAAAAAAAAAAAAAAAAAAAAAAAAAAAAAAAAAAAAAAGAAAAATCACAATCCCAGAGCCCAGGATAGGAAGGCTACCTTGTACTAATAGTTACAATCCCGATGCTGCAGGATTTACTCAGATCCCACAGAATAATATTAGGATATATTGGGGGCTGTGTGCTGTAGCAGGTGCAGAAGAATGCAAAAAGGGCCTTCCCAGGGATCAGTGAGGCCAAGAGCATGCAGATATCCCTGGAATTTAAGGAATCAGTAGTTACACTTCTAGAGCATATGGATGTCATGAGGGGGTCCTTACTCAGCTCTCATGGAACAAGTGCATGTTCGACCAGCCTGAAGCAAAGGAATACAGACCAGCCCCTCCAGCTCACAGCAGTGAGTGTGAATGTTTCACCAACAGCCACAATCCCATAGTTGCAAGGACGCAGAAGGAACTACCTCCAGGCCCCACAATAACATGCAGGTGTGGTGTCTGGGTTTGTTCCCTGGTCCACCAGTACTAGGTGCTGCGAGCTGCACAAGGGGGTTTGCCCAGATCTTGTTGTCTGGGCTCATGTGCTGCTACTGGTGCCAAGCCCCAAGAAGCAAAGGGGAACTTCCCTCAATCGCATGGATGGAGTACACATGGCTCCAGGGCTTGTTCCCAGTAGTTCTGCAGCTTCAGAATGCAGAAGGACCTGCTCTCTGCCCTGTGAAGTGCCCTACCTCTGGCCCTAGGGGCTTTTGTGGTGACTGGGCTGCTTGCTGCCCCCTAATGTGGAAAAGGATTTGGAGAGCAGCTGTACTGCCATAGCCTAGGTCTGGAAGCTTCGGGAATGAGGCAAGCAGGTTCCTTTTCTGGAGCAAAGCATTGCTTGGATGCCAGTCAGCTTCCTAACCTAGATTTAGAGCCAGTGTGAATTGTAGAATGCTCCTGTAGTTAAGCCTGCCTGTCTGTAGTGATGGTGGGGGTCATGGACCCCTCACTTACTTTTTCCCAGCAACACCTGTTGTGTTCTCTCTCTCTCTCTCTCTCTCTCCATCTCTTTTTTTTTATCTCTCTCTCCTGAGTTTCTGAGTCTGTGCTGTTTAGAGCACCCATCACTTCTTTATTCAAGCTCTTTTTCAGTCAATCTCTAAAAAATTGAGCCCTTTCTTTGTTGTTCTGGTTCTCTGTGAGCAAAGCAAGTGTGGGTGGTTCTCTATTCAGCCATCTTGGATCCCCTTAAATTTATCTCTACGTTATCAACTTTAAATGATACATTTTTTGTGAAATTCTGTTTAGCTTTTTCCATCAAATCTGCATTAGCTATTTGATAATGTCTGATTTCTTCCTAACATTTTTCATTTATTTGTTTGAAGATTTCAAACATACTTACTACATATTGTATGTCCTTGGTCTGAGCTTTTATGGTTTTCTCCCTGATATTTCTCCTTCACTTTCATGGTAGTTTACTTCCTTGTGTGTTTTGTGAGTTGGAGGTTGGCAAGAATTTATCTTTTGGAGACCTCTATAACCAGAGCTGAGGACTTTCATTTGCTTCTTCTAGGCAATTCTGGGAGATAGGTAATGGCTTGAGACTACTTTTTCTTAAACTCTCAGCATGACATTTTTCAAACCACGTGGGTAACGTAATTCTGAATCGCTAACCCACATTTAAAAAAGGTTTGTGTTTGCGCCTTCTTCAGGAGACTTTTCTTCATATTTCCTATCAAGAGCCACAAAGGGACAGAAACCTTTTCATTTGCCGTTTCCTTTTGCCGGAGTGGGTACTTTCTAGTTTGCACTTGTATTGAGGGTGTAAAGATTTGACCTTGAGGCAGCAACAGGTTATGTGAGAGTCAGCTGCCTTATGCACACCCTGCTTTATGCACATCCGAGGCCTTCTCTACAGTATCTACAAAGTTTTTAATAACTTGAGCCTCTTTGTTATTGATTGGAAAATATCCCAAGTGAAGCCATGGCTTCTTTTTTTCCCCAAGATGTTTCTCTTTTTTTAAATTTTGGAATCCTATGTTCAATGCAGTTAAGAAGATCTTATATAGTAGGGAGTTGTTGTTTTTGTTGTACATTCTACCATATTGAGGGGACCCCCCCCCCACCTCCAAGTTTACAGATGTGGGACTGAAATCTTAGGAAGTGAGTTACCTGAGTTTATGCTGCTGAGCCAACAGCTGAGCTAACACCAGCACTAAGTTCCCCTAATTTCCTAATCTGTATTTGTTCTTCTCTGAGAAAATGTGCCTTGTCTCCCTTTTTTATTCAAATCTTTCTCTCCCGTTTAGTCCTATGAGGATCTTGTTCAGCGTCTGGAGCCAGTTATAATGGAGCTGGAGCGGCAAGAGAATGTGCTGGTGATCTGCCACCAGGCTGTCATGCGGTGCCTCTTGGCCTACTTCCTGGATAAAAGTTCAGGTACCACATTGCCTCTGTCTTTAGTGTGGGGAGCCAAAAGTGATTTGAGACCTGACATCAGCAGTTGGCAGTTTATGTATCCATGGTGAAGAGCGCAGTATCTGGAACAAGTATACTTGGATTAGGATTCTTCCTCCATCAGATACAACCTGAACTATTTTGATAAATTACCTTAATTGCTCTGACCTCAGTCTCCATATCTTTAACATGGCCAGCATGAAGGTGAAATTTAATTAAATAATAAATATAAAGAGCTTGAAGCAAATAGTTCATGATGCACTCACGAGCTATGTACATGTTATTTGTTGTTTATTAGTACCAGTATTATTGTGAGTTAATGTTTTCCAACCTGACGTTAACAATTTGCTTCCATCTGAGAAAAAGCTGAGCTAGGATTTATCTGACGCATGTGTTGTCAGGACATAGCGATTCCCTTTGTGGCCTCATGATCCTCACTACTGATTTCTGTTTTTTTCTGCCGGGATAGTTTCCCCCAAGATGTGGTATTTCCATTTTTTTCCAAGATGGTAATTTATTTTCAAACGTCTGGACATTGTGTTTACAGAATATCTATACCCTGACTGCACAGACTGATCTGCAAACTAGGACAAGTGGTCTGCCGGTAGACTGTTATAGTACCTATAGGTGGGAGAGTGCATTTCTCAAGGAGGTATGAAGTGCTAGTTAGCACTTCCTTGACATTTTGAGGCTGTCTGAAGACTGCAAAAGTGTATCTGATGCCCACAATGCGCTTCAGTCTTGGATTTTTTCTCCTATGCTAGTTTCAAAATAAAGAGAACTTGACATAGGGAGTCAAAATTGGAACCCAAGAAACTTGAGAACTTGACATTAGATAAAATATTTCCTCTGCCTAGGTCTCAGTGTCCTCACTAAAAACAGGTGATGGGATGGGTGGAGGGGTTCCTAATTCTGATAGGTTTCTGATATATTCATATCTGTATTTAGTGGGGGCAAATTTTTTGAGACCATGATGCAGGCACTGTAAGTTCCCTTGTCCATATGAGGAAATGGAGGCACGGAGAGGTGAAGTGACTTGCCCAAGGTCATGAAGTTCAGAGTGTCAGGGAGAGGAGTTGATCCGAGGTGTATGCCAGAGCCCCTCCCTTGTCAGAGAGTCATGGAGTGTGTAAGGGAAATAGGCACAGCCCTATTTTCTGATGTCTTAACAGCTCTTATTCATAGACCGTGCCATCTGGGAGCTAGACAGGGCATGGCTGAGCAGATGTTCTTATCCCCAGTCCTCAGGCAACTAATGAAACAAGCCCAAAGAGATAATGTGACTGGAAAAGCAACTCCATGGATCCTTGGAGCTAGGGCATCCTCAGAGTATATCCAGTCTAGTCCTGGGCTGTAAGATAAAGACTGAGGACCAGGAGGAGAAGGGATTGGACCAGGGTCTTCAACTGAGCCAGTGGCACAACCAGTGGCACAGTACAGACCCCAAGCATGTCACTTCCCTTCTCTGTTTCCTCCGTGGACAGTGTGGACCTACAGCGCCCTGCAGCAGTGAGGGAGCCTGGAAAGTGTGTGCAGAGCCTGGCCAGGGCCCCGAGCACCATCATGACAAAGTGGGGGAGGAGCAGGATGCAGGCCAGCCTGCCGTCTCAGGAGGCTGGAGTGGGGGCCGACTTGAAAGCTGCAGAAGACCCTCAGGATGGAGAATCAGGGAGGGTGCCACCCAGGCTGAAGGAAGGGAGCTGGGGCCCAGACAGGCAGAGGGGCGAGTGTCAGCACAGAGCCAGGCAGGTGGGTTGAGGAGCCCAGCACATTGTGAGCTCGAGGAAGGGGGCAGTGAACTGCCATGGCAGAATCTGCATCCTTGCCAGACAAGGGCCTGGGTGTCACTTCTTGCCCATGTGCCTTCAGGTGAGGGTTTTCCTGCTGGATGGAGTTGCAGGCTGCTCACTCGAGGAATGGGCCCAACCACCCCTTCTCTCAGGGCTATAGGTAAAGTGATATGGACCCAAATGAGACATTGTTCATGAATGATCAGAACAGCTGTGCTGAGTCACCCTGGAAACAAAGGAGCTGACAGTCGTAGCCTGCAACAAGTCCTGAAGGAGTAGCCAGGGTGGGCCTGGCTGGAGAGAAGCTAGGAGCACACTGGCTCCCAACCCTGGTGCTCAGAAGGGTCCCAAGAAATGCTTTGCGACAGGAATTATGGGTCTTTGTGTTTGCCAGGAAGTCTGCAGGAGACTCTAGGCTGGGGTGAGAGAACATGCCCTGGTTTCTTGTCTACTCCGCAAGGAAGAAAGTAACCATCTCCCTGTGGCTATGCCTGATCCCCTTTTGGGTTCCACACTCTGCAGACTTCCGCAGAGCCCTCTTGCTCCTGCTCTCCCCTACTGTCTACCTCAGTTGTTTTCAACACTATCCCCTGCAAAGTACAGGGCATGGGCTGCTTGTAAGATCTGCCATGGGAAGGGGAGGTGGCAGGAGGAGTATAGAGCAAGCCAGGAGGCCCGAGGTGGGGTGCATGCCCAGTACCTTGTCTCCGAGGGTTGCTTTCTGCTCTTTTCCAGATGAGCTTCCCTATCTCAAATGCCCTCTACACACAGTGCTCAAACTCACACCCGTGGCTTATGGTGAGTGCCCCCACCCTGATCCCGTATAGCCACAGGGCTTACCATTTTCCCAGGAGAGTTCTAGAGGAGGTTATCTGGGTATGCTGTGGATGTTCTGGTACAGGTGGGACTGGTGGTTGTAGATAACAGGGAAGAACTCAGATGGCTTCTGAATTTGGAATATGGCTCCAATTTCTCTGTGTCAGCACTGAGCATGGATCCCCAAGTCACTGAAGTAGGGATTCCCAGAGGGGACCAGAGTGAAATTGGTGGTTGGGGCAATATTGAAGAACAAACTCGAAGACCAGCCAGAAAAATCTATCCCCCTCAACTCCTCTTGATGTTGGTTAGCTATGAAAAGTTCATGAACAGCAAGTGGACAATCAAGTCTGTATGGGGTGTGAATGAGGCCGAATGGCATATATAGTAAAGTGAATATATAGTAAAGTGAAGTTTCTGTGGCTGGAGCCAAATGAGCATTGTACCTCTTCTGGCATCCCCAAGCCCCAGTGAGGCAACAACCTCTTCCTTCAGCTTCCCTAGAACTCCCTTGTGAAGTTCTATTTTTGGTGTTCTGGTAACAGACTGTTCTCTAACCAAACTTCCCGGATGGATCACCCAAGGCAGTGGCCCCAGGGCTCTTCCACCTCTTCAGCAGCTGGCATGGCTTGGAGGAGCCATAGAGTTCCACAGTATGGCATGGGTTAGATGGCTGTCACCTAGTCCACTGAGTCAGAGGAGACCATATGGATCATCTTCTGCCATCTCTATCCCCATCTACAAATAAGCAACTGACTTTCAAAGAACTCAGAGACAAAAGGCCCAGCTGGGAGGGGACCCCTGCCCCACTAGTGCCTCATAGGCCTAGTGCCAGTCCCACATATCACACAGCTCATCTTAACCACCTTCCCTGCGAGGCCATCACAGTTGGACAGTATGGGGCTGGCAGAGTAGGGGATACGTTAGGGAAGACCTGTGTTTACCTTGGGATTTACAGACAGATGGTTTGTTCTTTCCTGAGGCTGCAAAGTGGAGTCTATCTACCTGAACGTAGAGGCTGTGAACACACACCGGGAGAAGCCTGAGGTAGGTGTGGCATCCCACCCAAAGCTGGCCACAGACACAGCACATTGTACAACTATCCTTTTCCAAAGAATGGTCACTCTACACCCTCAGATCCAGGATGTTTCTCAGTATCAGATGGAACAGCCAGCACCTACAAACACAGAAACCATCGCCCAGACCTGAATTACCATGTCAGTGTAGGACTAGAGCAACCCCTGCCCAAACTGCCTAACGCTTCAACTTCCTCATGCCTGTTCAAGAGAGGAACCTTGCCATGAAGACAAGGTAGAGCTAGAATGCTGCAGTGCTGAATTGATGACTCTCCTACTAATCTTGGTTTCTCTCTTTTCAGAATGTGGATGTCACCCGGGAACCTGAGGAAGCCCTGGACACTGTCCCTGCCCACTATTAAGCCTTCCAAGAGGCCGAAAGACCGCTTGGCTCACTGTTTTCTACCTTTGGGAACTCATGTCCTTGTTCTTCACCCTGAGAAGACTGCCTTGGCCTCACTGGCAGAACCCTACTTTCGGTGAAGAAGTCCTCAGGAGTTCCAAAATAGTTCTGTTTCTGGCCCCGTGGAGCTATCTGGCTCTGGAGGAAGTTCTTGCTTTTTAAATTCCTATTCTATAATCAATAAAGACTTCTTTTTCTGCCTACAGGAAGACAGTCATGAGTCCCTTATTGTTTTTAAGATCCTCATCTGGATCTTTACCAAGGTCTGTTACCCTGGGGTTGTGGAATGCAATTTTGCAGTAGCACCTGCAGAGTTGACATCCATGTTAGTACCTGTGGGCTTTGTTCCTTGGTGGACTGAGGCTGATGCCATGCTACCTTCATCATTACATTCAGACAAACCTGGAACTTATGTAGATGCTCTGTAACACTAGCTGCCATCCCAAGTGATGTCCTGGTCCATGTGAATGACCACACCCATCCATTGATCTCCTCAAACCCCACACCTCAACTCCAGCAACCATCTCCTTTCAGCCACCAGCTCTGTGGGCCTTGGCTTCCTCTCCCTGGTCTAACTTCTTGAATGCAAGCGTCTCAACTAAACTACTGCTCATACAGTAGGCATCCATGTGGTACTTAAATGAATATTTGTAGTGTACTGTATCGAGAGTGTATTCCTTTGATTGTTCTCTTGTCTCCAAATCCATCAGTCCTTTCCCTCCTTGTAATTCTTCCATCTTTGACCAGCTTGGATCCCACAGTCCATCTCTTCAGCCACTGTACGTGAAACTGCTGTGGGCCTGATACCAGCAGCCCAGCTGATAGATTTCATACAGTTGCTGCCTTTGTTCTCTTGTCCTCCCATCACAACCACCCAGCACGGCCCAGACAGTGTATAATCTACATCCCTGTTTTATTGGGATCTATTACAGTACTGCTGATTGCTGCTTGAAGCATAATTGTATTTACCTGCTTTGATGGACACTCTTCATTCCTGTTCAAAGTCACAGCCACTGTCTGTTTTCTGGACATCTGTCACATGCCACCTTCTTACAGGACTGCTTCAGTCAACTCCCAACTCCCCCATGTATATCTTTGTCCCTGTCTATGACTCTGCCCCCGCACCCCAGTTTACCAAATGCTGAAGTTTTCCTTTCCTATATCAAGAAAAATTTCCCTTGTTCCTGTGTCCATTCCTGGTACCCACCCCCCACATCCCTCCATTCCTGCATGATTCCAAATTATCTCTACTTACTGCCGTCTTCCTTTGCGTATGTTCCACCATTTCCCCACATTCCCTTAAGGTTCCATAATGACCTTTTCAGCATTTCCTTGAACCCAAAGTGTCATTCACAGTCACCGAAGCACCACAGAATGACAGAAACACCTCCATTTCATTTTGCAAATTTAATGTCACTTGGATACCAAAATATGACAGCACACAGAAAGCGAACAGTAAAGCAGGAACAGCAAACAGATTTTTCATAGCGTGTCACCCTCAGCCGATTGGTAGCAGCTGTTTAGATTGCTGTGTGGACAAAAATTTCAAAGCTGTTACTTAGCTCCTTGGGAAGTTCTGCTATAGTTCATTAGCGGTTTCTGAAAACATGGGGAATAAACCTAAAAACAAAACACCAAACAGGAACATATTTTTAGCACCACATATACTGTTTACTTATACTTCCTCCATTGTCTTAATCTTCCCACTCTGCCTTCCCAACTCAGTTTCTTATAACATCCCCCAGCCCTTATACCCATCCCTGTGGGCCCTCACCAGGGAACTACTACGATTACCTGAAACCTCACTAGCCATAGGAGAAGCCACAGGCACCAAGGCTGGTGGCTCCACCACCAAAGCCAGTGCTGGTGCTTGGTCCACCGCCGAATCCAGCACCAGGGCTTGGTCCACCGCCGAAGCCAACACTATTTGGTCCACTGCCAAAACAAGCTCCGGTGCTCAGTCCGCTGAAGCCAGCTCTGGTACTTGGTCCACCGCCAAAACCACTGGTGCCTTGTCCACTGCAGAAGCCAGCACCAGTGCCTGGTCCACCGCTGAAGCCAACAATAGAACTGGGTCCACTATTGAAGCCGGCGCTCGTGCTGGGCTCGCCAGTAAAGCCAGTGCTGGTGTTGGAACCACTGCCAAAGCCAATGATGGTACTCAGTCCTCTGTCGAAGCTGGCATTAGGCCCACCGCCAAAGCCATCGCTGGTGCTGAGGCCACCACTAAAGCCAGCACTGCTGCCAAGTGTGCTGCCAAAACCAAAATTGGTGCCTAGTCCACCACCAAAGCCATCGCTGGTGACCAGTCCGCCACCAAAGCCAGCACTGGTGCCTAGTCCGCCACCGAAGCCAGTGCTGGTGCTTAGTCCGCCACTGAAGCCAGCACTGGTGCTTAGTCCACCACTGAAGCCAGCACTGGTGCCTAGGCTGCCATCGAAGGCAGTACTGGTGCCTAAGCCACCACTAAAGGCAGTACTGGTGCCCAGGCTGCCACCAAAGCCAGAACTGGTGTTCAGTCCACCAAATCCAGCACTGGTGCTTAGCCCACTGCCAAAGCTGAAACCAGCACTGGTGCTGGGTCCATCATTAAAACTGGCACTGGTAACACCACTAAAGCAGGCACTGGTGCTAGGAGGGCCACCAAAGCATAGATTGGTGTTAGATGCACTGCCAAAGCAGACGCTGGTGCTGGGAGCGCCACCAAAACAGAGGCTGGTGCTGTGAGCACCACCAAAGCTGACACTGGTGCTGGGAGCACCACCAAAGCCAATACTGTTGCTGGGAGTACCACCAAAGTCAGTAGTGGTGCCAAGTGCCCCACTGAAGCCAGCACTGGTGCTGAATGCACCGCCGAAGCCAGGGTTGGTGCTTGGTGTGCCACTGAAGCTAACACTGGTGCTGAAGGCACTGCCAAAACCAGCATTGGAATTGAGTGCACCACCAAAGCTGGCACTGGTACTGATGGCAGCACCAAAACCAGGACTTGTGTTGAGTGCACTGCCAAAGCCAGCACTGCTGAGTGCACCACCAAAGCCAGCACTGGTGCTCACAGCACCCACAAAACCAGTATTGTTGTTGAGTGCACTGCCAAAGCCAGCACTGGTGTTGAGCGTGCCACCAAAGCTGGCACTGGTGCTGACAGCACCACCAAAACCAGCATTTATGTTGAGTGCGCCATCAAGGCCAGTAGTGCTGTTGAGTATACCACCAAAACCGGTATTTGGGTTGAGTGCATTGCCAAAGCCTGCATTGGTGCTGATGGTACCACCAAAACCGGCACTCGTGTTGAGTGCACCATCAAAGCTGGCATTGCTGTTGAGTGCACCGCCAAAGCCTGCACTGCTAAGTGCACCACCGAAGCTCACACTGGTGCCAGGAGAGCCACCAAAGCAGACACTAGTGCTGAGTGTACCACCAAAGTCAGCACTCGTGCTGGAACAGCCACTGAAGGAGACACTGGTGCTGAGTGTACCACCAAAGCCAGTGCTAGTACTAGGAGAGCCACCAAAGCAGATACTAGTACTGAGTGTGCCACCAAAGCTGGCAGCAGAACTGGGAGAACCACCGAAGCAGACACTGGTGCTGAGTGTACCTCCAAAGCCAGTGCTGCTGCTAAGAGCCTCATTAAAGACCGTGCTCATGGTGGGTGCGCTGCTGAAGGTAGTGCTGGTGGTAAGTGCACCACCAAAGCCAACAGTGGTACTGAGTGTGCTTCCAAAGCCAGAGTTGGCTCCACTACTGCAGCTGGCACTAGTACAAGGTGCACCACCAAAAGTAATGCTGGCTCCACCACTGAAACTAGTGATAGTGCTGGGTACCCCACCAAAGCTAATGCTGGCTGTGCTGCTAAAACTAGTACTAGTGCTGGGTGCGCCACCAAAGCTAATGCTGGCTCCACCACTGAAACTAGTAATAGTGTTGGGTACACTTCCAAAGCTAATGCTGGCTGCACTGCTGAAGCTGGCACTGGTGCTGGGGGCACCACCAAAGGTAATGTTGGCCCCACCCGTAAAAGTACTACTAGTGCTGGGTACGCTGCCAAAGCTAATGCTGGCTGCACTGCTGAAGCTGGCACTGGTGCTGGGGGCACCACCAAAGGTAATGCCAGATCCGCCACTTAAACCACCACTGGGACTGGGTGCATCATTGAAGCTAACACCAGCACCATCGCTGAAACTAACCCTGGTGCTAGCTCCCCTGCTGAAGTCGATGTTGGTGTTGGCATCTGCATTTTCTTGGGATCTGGCCTCGATTTCAAATGAGAATCTGCTCCAGGCCTGAGCATCATCGCCTAACTCTTCCCTGGTTAGGCAGTCGATATCCATGTCATCCCAATTCCAGGGCCCAGCCACAGCTTCCTCGCCAATCCCCATTTGCGCTCTTGCCTCTGCCCTGGCCTCAGCCTCAGCCACAGCCACAGCTGCAGCTTGGACTTCCATCTCTACCGCCTCCCGATACTGAGCAGCCCAGTCCTTGGGATCTTTCTTCTGCACCTGAAATGGGAATGATAATAATTATAAGGAAAATATCCCTTGCCATGGACTGCATATGAGACCAGTAGCAATATTCTCTTTAAAGACTCCTTATTTATGGAGGTTCTATCATGGGTCAGTCCTGAGATCTAATATTAGCTCTGATAACTCAGATGTGCTAAGATCTTGGACAAGTTATTTAACCTTGGTGAACCTAAATGTCTTCATGAGTAATATGGGAATTGATAAGAGAGTAAATGTACAATGCATTGAATGTTTGCACTACCCTAAAATTCATTTGTTGAATCCTCAATCACCAATGTGACTGAACTCATTGATAAGGGCAGAGCCCCTGCTCCAGCAGAACCGATGTCCTTATATAAAGAGATAGTGTGGAGCTTGCATTGTTTCTCCAGCAGGTGATCACAGTGAGTGAAAAGGCAGCTATCCACAGGCCAGAAAGAAAGTCCTCACTCTAAACCTACCCTACCTGATCTGGATCTGGGATTCTCAGCCACAGAACTGTGAGAAAATAAATGTCTTTTTCAATCTACCCAGTCTATAGTATTTGTAATGACAACCTGAACCGACTACTACAGAGTATGAAGAACAAGTGAAAAAATGTAAACTGTATATGATATCTAACAGCATTCTGGAACATAAATGAAGCCTTTACATGTTCATATATGAGCCATAGTTGTGTCATACAGACCTACCCCCCACAGATGACCTGTCCCAGCCAGTAGCATCCTATTCTCTTAACAGGCCAAGCTCAGGCAGTTCCTGGATTACCTTACACGCAAACTTGAGGACTTTCATCTTGCTGGTCTCATGGTAGGAGCGCAAACCCCAGAAGAACTCATACTCAGGTGGTCTGCTGTTGGGGACTCTTTTGTACTCCAGGTATCTTTGAGAAATGAAATGAAACTTTGGTTAGATAACCAAAATAACAAGTTTTCTAACCATTAGGCCCCAGGAGGCAACTTCATCTGACAAAGGCTAACAGCCCTAAGAAGAATTTCTAAGACCTTCTCGCTTCAGAGTTACCCCCAGTTGACCTCGAATGCTGAACTATTCCCCATTGGTCCTGTGCAAATGTCACTTGAGGTGCAGCAAGAGAGGCATGTGTAGGGTATTGAGTCACAGGAAGGCCCAAGTATCCTGCCACCTGTGAGGAGTAAACCCAGATTGTTGTTGGGTGTGTTGTAAACAGAGAAGCCATTCTTCAGACTCCCTGCTCTGAGCACACCCCACCCCACCCCAAGGGTCTTGTGTTTTGATCTGGTCCAGAAGAGATCTGCTATGAGAATTTTAGATAGGACACAGGATGTCCACGTCTCTAAAGTCATTATAAAAATAGAACTGATTGAACACTTTGGGAACCAAACAATACCCCCAGAACACTACAGGAACAGACAAGCCTTCAACCACCACTTACTTCTGCTTCACAAATTCATCTGTGATGAGCTTCCTCACTTCCCCGAAAAGCGAATGTCTCACCCTGACAATGGGAAAATAATTTACGAATATGTATCAGAACTGTCTAGATGAGGGCAGAGGCCTTTCCCAGCCTGGAGCAGGCCTCTTTAGTACATGCGGCAGTCTCAGTGAAGCAAAGAAAGCAGTGAGCATATGTCCACTAGCGGAGAGAGGGAGAGCAGAGAATTCAGAACCATTTTCCCCTCCACCAAGGTCAGAACCCTGGCCCAGGACCCCCCGCCCGTGCCACCAGACCACCAGGCTGATGCAATCCTGGGACCGTCCTCTCTTGGCAAAGGACAACACGGACAGCAAGCGCTGAGAGAGCCCAATCATACCCAGGGCGCAGCCCCAACTTGCGCAGCACCTCCCAGATGACAGCTGCAGGGGGAGGCAAGAGGGGACAGGGCAGCAAATGAACACAGGGAATTCAGACCCTGGCCACCCACTCAGCTGTGTGCCCCACCACTCACCCTCACTGGCCTTGTTGCCATTCATAAAAATGACACTCAGAATCACCATAAGAAGACCCAGCTTGGGTGTATCCTTGGTCCTAAGCGAAGAGAGCAGAAAGAAGTTTATGTGTGGTAGCTATCTACAAAATATACCAGCCAGCTAATGAGGCTAGCCTCTCCCAGACTCCTCAAACAACAGACGATTCTGCCTGGTATGCTTCAATTTCCATGTGACTCTAAGCAAGGAACTCCTATTCAGATCTTGAGTCTCCCATTCAGTAAAGTGGGAAAAATCACATCCTACATCCCCAGCTTGCAGACAAGATGGCCTAACGTACTTGTCAGCCCAGTACATACAACACAAGCACGCAAAGTGAGCTCCTTCCCCGAGCCCCAGCCCTCAGATTTCTAGGCAGAGCCCCACTGATCACACAATCCCATAGGCTTGAGAAAGCTCTTTGCTCCCTTAGGCTTCAGTTTCCCTAACTATGTAGTAAAGAGGCATGAGTGTCATGATGCACCCACACCCACACCGGAAGCCCTCTCTTGAGAACCATTCTACCAAGGCCAGGCCAAATAGTCAGTAGGAAGAAACAAAAAGGAACAAGCTGCCTTCTTGGAAGCTTCTAGAGAGAAACCAGACCTGAAAGTGTAAACCCCCCACCCCAGGCTCCTATACCAGCATCCAATCAATCTATAATCAGACTTCTATAATCAGTCAATCTATAATAAATAAATCAGCATTATAATCCACAATGTAGAGCTCCAATTAAGTGCAGGAGCTGTGACAGCACCTTATTAGGCCCTGTCTTTCCTGATTCTCTTAAGAGGATGTAGGGAGAGGGGACAAAGAAGAGGTGATGCCACAAAAGCAGAAGCCCCCCCGCTTTCACCCCAGCCATGTGCCAACTTACGTTCCCAATATGCCTGCAGATGATTCCTGAGTGCTGATAAGAATATACAAGCTACTTTGCTTATCAATTTCCTTCAGATTAATGCGAAACATCTGCCAAGTAAAAGAACATCCTGTGAGATCCCTCATTTCAACTTCATGGGCATCCCACAGCTCCCTGTGTACCTAAGGACTGTTGAGAGAAATCAGTAAAGCAGCGCATACAAAACACAAAGCTATATGCCTAAGCACACATGAAACACACAACAAGTATACCATCAGTATCAACAAAAGCTTTGTCACTAATGGAAATCTAGGCAGATAAGAGATAGGCATCAGAAATACATGACAGGGTGAGTCCAACAGTGGACTAAAGCCAAAACTAAATTGGATGCCTTGGCTCCTAGCTGTGCTTTTACCACCGATTTCTGTGATTCTGTGGCCCATCCATGCCCCTCCCTAGGCTACTGTCTGTCCATATGCACAATGACAGGGTGGATTAGCAGGTATCCATAGTTCCCTCCAGAAGGAACACATGCACCTTTGTTTGAGTCAAGGCTTCTGCACCTTGCCCATCCCCCAGAGCTACCCTTTCACCTTCTCCAGAGCGTAGCTTGCCCGTTCAATGATCTCTGGGAAATATTCATTGTATTCTTGGATGACATCCTTCAGCATGTCTGCAGGAAAGAAGAGGTTGCCGCAACTGGGCTGAGCAGGGGCCACAGGCCAACAGCCCTTTTGCCAGCCCTGTGGGGTCAGTGTAGCCAAAGTCCTGGATTGCATTACTGGGAAATGGCAGCTATAATGGAGTGTGAGGGAAGCAGGGGTAGAGATATGAGAGAACAAGAATGCCATAAAGGTCAAGAGGTACCCCCTCTACAGGCCATGGGGAGGGGTAAGGAGGAGAAGAGAGTGGCGTAAGCTTTGCAAAGATTGGTAGGACACTACCTGAACGCTTTATGGGGATCTTCGTCTGGTCCTTAACCAACAGGTATTTCACCAACTTATTTGCCTGGAAGAAAAGCAATAGATGCAGCAATCTCAATGCTTCTAGAAAACCTGAAAGCATGGCAAAGAAGAGGACCAATGAGGAAGGAAAAGAAATTGGGCAGCACTGCATTCTTACCCTTTCTTGCAAGATGGCCACATCTCGGGGGGGCGAGGGCCTCCGGCCCCATGGAATCCGCCTGAAATTACTCCCACTTCTCTCATCCCCGTTCGGATGTTTGAACTTTATCATCAGAAAGAAGGAAGGTCCCAAGTCACCAGGTGCAAAACATAGCTTTGTCTCCTCACTCTACCTCCAGAAAGTCCCCCTAACCCTTCCCCTATAGTGAGGACTGACCCTGCCATTGGCCACCCTGAGTCCTGGGCTTGTCTTTCACTGTCTTCCAGGCAGGAGTGTCATTCCCCTGCAGTCCAGGAGCAACCCAAGGGCAGGGCCTGGGGCTCCTCCTCTTCCATTAGCCAAGACTGGATTCCAGTTCACTTCAAGTCACTTCACTTCTCTGGGACTGTCTGTTTATCTGTAAAACTGGGACCTTTGATCCCCAGTTAGTAAGAGTTACTTTCAAGACACAAAGACATAACCTATGTAATGCACCCAATATAAAACCTAACGCATGTAACTATGTAAACACAGGTTGAATTGCGTGCAAGTTGTAGCTAAGTGCATAAACCGATACCTTTTCCCCCACCAATCTGTGAATGCCAGTGGGTATTTCCCACAGCTTACCTGGACACAGGGACTGACTGAAAATAAAAAGGTTCAGTAAACTTTTTTTATAGAAGCAATTAACAAGCCAAAAGGATAAAAAAAAAAAAAACCCAGCAAAGTAGCACCAGGTGAAGGGCGGTGACAGCCAAGAGCTCACCTTTCGGTTCCTCTTGCTTCGGGTCCTGTTTGCCGGCTCCAGACTCAAGTGAGCCAGATAGTCATCTGCCAGGGCCTGGACAGCAGCAGCGACCTGAGTCTCAAGAGCACTCATGCTGGTCTGAGACGTGGCCATCTTGGCACGGGTCCCTTGGGCAGCAATTGGAGTCTGGCTTTCAAGTGGCCGACCCTTAGCAGCAGCCTTCCGAGTCCTAGACCCTCTCTTGACTCGAAGGGTGGCTGCTAAGGCTTGGTTTGTGACCACATGAGTGGTAGGCAAGGCCTCAGAGATCTCACAGGCGGAACTGAAGCCCTTAGTGGCAGCCTTCTTGCTTTTGGGTTTTTTGGGCCGGATAGCTGCTGCTGAGCTCTCAATCTGCCTACTTGCTGCCTCGGTGATAAGCGGAGCCTCCACAGGCTCAACTTCAGTATTTGTGGCCTTACAGGTTGTCTTCTTGGCCTTGGAGGATTTCTTGGCTCGGATGGAGGCTACTGTGCCCTGAGCATTGGTTGTCTCACTGGAAATTTGCCCTTGGATTGTGGCAGAGTGGGTGGCAGTTAGAGCCTGTGAGATCTCATTGGCACTAGCCATGGCCTTACCGGCAGCCTTCTTAGCCTTGAAAGCTTTCTTAGGCTTGCTGGAGGTTATCAAGGTCAGGGAACTGGCTGCCTCACTGGCTCCCCTGGCTGCCTCGTGGTCTCCTGGAGCCTGGGAAGTATGTGACATAACTGGTAGGTTTAGGGCCTGCAAGGGTGACTTAAGTTGTGTAGGGACACCCTCACCGCCAACTGAGGATTGAGAACTCTGGGCTGCCTTGGCAGTAACTCTCTTTGTCTTATTGGCTTTTTTGGGCTGAGCAGTGACTAAAGGAGCCTGAATAGCGGCTGCCTCAGTGGTAACAGAAGCCTGGCTGATTTGGGTGATGATTGGCAGGTTTAAAGCCTGCAAAGTTATTTTGGGTTTGTGGGTGGCAATCTCATTGGCAGATGGGACTGGAGGGGCAGCAGGTGTGACCTTAGTAACAACTTTAACAGGAGTCTTCTTGGTCTTGCTTTTCTTTGGCCGGTTGGCAACTGGTGGGTCCATAGCCAGGGGGTCCTTGGTTGCCGCCAACAAGGTATGCATCAGCAAGACACTGTCCTCTTCTGTGGTCTCCGTCTGTACATCTGGAGGAAAGGGAAGCCCCAGGCTCCCAGGGGGAGGCAGAGGGCCCTACACACTTAGGATGATCATCCTCTGCGCCACCTGGTCTCCCTCCTGCCCACTCTTTCCCACAAAAGCCTCCTTTACTTTGAGCAGGGAATGATTGAAGGAGGTAGGGGAGGGAAGGGAGAAGAATAGGACAGGTTTTCTCTCCTCCTTCTTCACCGTGCAGGGTGGAGCAGTAAGGGAGGTTAAGCAGGGAATTAATTATGCAACTATATGGTAGTAGGGGGGGCTCAAAAACAGGAAGCAAGTTTCAGACAAGGCAAATGACCTGGTAAGAATGTAAAGAAGTCTAACCTGGAACGTGGGCATCCTGTAACCATAGTCATTTCTCCTATCCATCTTTCTGGAATGCCGAGTAACAGCTGAGCCTGAGTTAGGAGAGAATGAGAGTGACACAGATTCAGCAATGTCCTTCTTATATGAAGGGAGTGGGACCTTATCTACCCTTGCAGTGCAAAGCTTGAAACTCTCAAGTTCTCATACCGAGAAATGCAGACCATCTGTTTTGGGGCCCTACCTCCTTTCACCTCCAACATGGCAAGTCCATTTTACTATCCCGCCCATTTACCCTACACACACACACACACACACACACACACACACACACACACCCCTACTGCAAATGGAGAGTACGCATGCGCCCGACCAGAGGCCCCCTTCTGAGGCCCACCGCTTTCCCAAAGAACTCCTTCTTTAAGGTCCTCAGCACGCATGCGCCACCGGGGACTGGCCAGTCTCTAATCAGCTCATTCCCACAAATGCCCCAGCTCTCCAACCGTGGAACATCTCAGCCCCACCCCTGACCCACTCTATAACTGCATCACATCTCGTTGCATCCCTTCCCCCAACACCGGCCCCCTCCCTCCGCTCTGCAGTACCGCTTCGCACCGCCCCTTCCCCAACACCGCCCACCTCTCCTCTGCGGTACAGCCACGCACCGCCTCTTCCCGGAACGCCCTCCCCTCTGCTCCGCAGCACTTCTCCAAAACCTCCAGTTTCCTTAATAAGCCCCCTCCCCCTGCTCCGCAGTGCGTTTCCGCACCGCCCCTTCCCCAACACCGCTCCCCGCTCTTTCCACGTCTGCAAGCGCCCGGCCCCGCCCTTTCTGCAACATGGATACCCCACCCCCAAATCGAACGACGTTAACCTGTGTATTCCTTGTTCCTGAACCCTATGAACTGTCGTCGCCTTCCCGGTTCAAACCAGAATCAACCGGGTCCTAGCACGTCTTTTCTCTAGCCTGAGGTGGGTCCCTCTAGCTGCTGAAAAGGATTCCGTCCCCTCGTTCCTCTGGGTTCTGATCTCTCCGCAGCGCAGATCAGCTTCTGCCCCCTTTCTCCAGCACGGACACACTTGTACCGTCTCCCATCTCACTCCCGAGATGAGTTCCACTCCCTTCAGGCTACCGCCTGAACAATTTCCCCATCCTTGCTTTCTGAAGTCTCAGCCGGGTTTCCGCACCTTCTTTTTACACCCGAAACGAGTTTATTCATATCTGTCCTTTCCATGGCCCTAAGGGATGCCCCCTGCTCTCCCTCACGCCAGCCAGGTTCAGACACCTCTGTAAAATGACCACTTCGGCGTGCTTAGGTTCCCAAACCCCCGGCAGGTACTCGCCAAACCTTAAAGGCATACGGAGTTAGATTCGTGGACGCTGTAGCCTGGAGGCCCCCACAGAGTCTTCATTAACGCCAGCCACCTCAGCTCACCTCGTTCTCCAGAGTCCAGAAGGCGTCCGTTCTCTCCAAGCCTCTCCGTAGGTCTGAGCCTATCCGCCCCCTCCCTGGCCGGAAGTGGTCCTGCCTTTTTCCGCCTCCAGAGGGGGTCTCTGTCCCCGTTGGTCTGCGCCCCCACTCCAACTTCAGCTTCTCTCCTCTGCAGACTATCCCTTGCTTAGAAACCATTCCCTCCTGCTCGCCATTTGATTTCGCTGTGCTCCATCCTAGATCCCCGTCAGTGCCTGAATCCCCAAGTCCCCCTGGGAGAAATGTGTTTCTTTGGGCTTCTACGCCAATTTTTCTTGCATCTCCTTCTATCCCAGAACTAATTACATACAGTACGATTACACTACGTGTCTAAGTTTCTCTCCCCCAGGAGCTGCTCTGTGAGAGGATTCTGTGTCACATATGACCAAATAACACATTTACAGGCTGTAAAAATCAAAAGGTACAGTGCACTGACATAATAATACGTCTTCAGAACAAAAATTGTAAACGTAATGAACTCTATGAAAGCTTTTTATTTATTCCGTGATGGCTATCTTGATGCTTTAAAAAGTCATTATAATTGAAAAATGTGGATCCTGTATTTATCTTCTATTGACACACTAGGTATTAGTCTCTTGTGACATGGTGCATTGCTCCCTAGTGTAGAAAACAATTTGCAGCCTTTATTTATTCACTTCACCGTACGTGCGAAGAGCAGAGATAACTAGTCCTAGATAAAACGTACCATACTTGTATAGAGATAGATAGATGAATACAATATTGGAGTACCTAAATAAAGCAGCTACTGATCTCTACAAAGGAATAGATCAGCTGAAAAGCACTATAGCTGGAGATTTTAATGATGCATAGATCAATAACAAAGGAAATCAGTAAGAAAAATGGGGCTTAAACTATGCTTAAGAACTGATGTGGGCCTGACAGTATGGCTATGTTTGCTGATCCTCCACCTTCAAGTGCTAACATTCTGTGTGGGCACTGGTTTGTGTCCTGGCTGCTCTATTTCCCATCCAGTTCCCTGACTGGCCCAGGAAAGCAGTAGAGGATTGGGGAGATGGCCCAAGTCCTTAGGCCCATGTATCCTTGTAGGAGACCCAGAACAGGCTCCTGGCTTCAGATCAGCTCAGCTCTGGCCTTGTTGCTATTTGGGGAGTGAGCCAGCTTATGGAAAACTTTTCTCTCTGATTCTCCTTCTTTCTGTACGTCTGCCTTTCCAATAAAAATAAACCTTAAAAAAAGAACAAATGAACAGAATTATATGGACCATTCAATCCAATAGCAACAGAATATGTGTTCTTGTCAGGCACACATAGAACATTCTTCAGGATGGATCATAAAATAGGCCACAAAACAAGATTGAAATCATTTCATATATGTAATCTGACCACAAGGTTGTAAAACTACAAATCAGCAAAGAGGAATTTCAAAATATTTACATATACATGGAAATTAAATTGCTTCCAATCAATGATTCACAAAAGGAAACAAAAAGAAATTTCAAACATTTGAGACAAACGAAAGTGGATTCACAACACACTAAAACGTGCCGGTCGCTGCAGATGCACTTCTCAGAGGCTTACATCAAGACATGTCTACGTCAAAAAGAAAATTTAAAATAATAACTTAACGATACATCTCAAGGAACTACAAAAAAGAACATCCTAATGGCAAAGTCAGTAGATGACCAAAGCCAAAATAAATGAAATAGAGACTAGTAAAACAATATAAAACAGTAACGAAACTAAGACTTGAGTTTTTAAATGATAAATTGACAAATCTTCAGCTGGATCAACTAAGAAAAATGAAAAAATACTTAAAATAAAAATGAGAGCAAACATCACAATTGACATCACAGAAACCTAAAGGGCTCTAAGAGACTACTAGGAAGGGATTTAAGCATAGGAAGTGTTGAATCTAAAAGAAATAAACTTCTAGACACATACAACAACCAAGACGAAACCATGAAGAAGCAGGAATTCTAAGAAATCAGTAATAAGAATGGTGGTTGAATCAATAATAAAAAGTGCTCCATCAAAGACAATTTGTAGGGAAATTGGGGGCCTGTTCATCAATAACTCTGAATTTCAGTTAGGTATGAGGAAATATAAATTTTATAACAATTCATATGTCCACAATTGCATGTTTGCTGTCTTTCATTGTGGTCAGTTGAGACAGCTTCTTTCTTTCTCATAGAACCTTTGTTGAGGATCCCTAGAAGTAGCCAACCCATTGTTATAGTCTATACTTTTCTGTGTGCTCTGCTGTAATCTTGGTAAGCATAGGCACTGCATCCTGATATTCAGGAAGTGTAGCTAAAGCAACTGCTGTGTTTTTGTGTTACAGGAATTGACAGCCCTGAAGGCTCCTGCTCACAGTCAATCTGGATACAATTAACTCTGCTATTCATATTGTTTTAGACAGGTTACACTTGTATATATTTAGGCCGCATAACATGTGCATAGGTGTACATATAGCGGAATGACTACAGCTGTCAATGTACAGCTTTGTTTATGCATTATTTTACATACTTATCAACAATTTGGGGATGAAATAATGAGATATGAACAGTGTTCATTATGACAATTATATAGTAATGCATTATACAGTTAACAAAAATGATGACAGTAGATGTTAAGTACTCTTATCACAAACTAAATAGTGGAGGCCAACTCTTATCACAGTATAGCTGCTGCCTGCAGTAATGGAATCCTATATGGGCACCTGTTCAAGTCCCAGTATGCCTGGGAAAGCAGAAAATGGCAGAAGTTTTTGGGTTCCAATACCAATATGGGGGACCCAGAAGCAACTCCAGGCTCCTGCGTTTGGCCTGGCCCAGCTTCTGCCATTGCAGCCATGTCTGAGTAAACCAGTAGCGGGTAGAAGATTTCTCTCTCTTTCTCTAACTCTGATCAGGTAAATAAATAAATAAATAAGTCGGGGTTTTTTTCTACAAAATAAAATAAATGGTAAGTATGTAAATAGATAAAATAGCTTTGTTTAATGTTTCTACTACATATGTATACATAATCATTTTACCATCATATACTATATGTTACACACCATAAATATGTGCAACTGTTACTTTCCTATAAAAATGTGAAGTTAATTGTATCCAGATTGACTGTGAGCAGGAGCCTTCAGGGCTGTCAATTCCTGTAACACAAAAACACAGCAGTTGCTTTAGCTACACTTCCTGAATATCAGGATGCAGTGCCTATGCTTACCAAGATTACAGCAGAGCACACAGAAAAGTATAGACTATAACAATGGGTTGGCTACTTCTAGGGATCCTCAACAAAGGTTCTATGAGAAAGAAAGAAGCTGTCTCAACTGACCACAATGAAAGACAGCAAACATGCAATTGTGGACATATGAATTGTTATAAAATGTGGCATTATTTTTATTTGTCACAATGGTGAAAAAAAGCTCTAAAATACAAAATGATTGATAATACAGAGTGTTCAAGAAAATATCAGACGGTAGATACACAGTCATAGAACTATCCTTCTATACTACTACGTTTCCTAGTAAAATTTCAAATTAATATAATTTATATTCCCAAATCTCAGTATTAGAATTCCAGAGAAACATGTGTGTAAGGATCCATGAAAATTG